GATTTTTTTATTAAATGTTATAGGTGTGTAATTATATAATGTGTTGTATGTATATTGTTGTGAAGAGTCATAAGTTTACTAGTAGTGATGAGATTAATTGTAGTTAATAATTATATATAATCTACAAATGATGATAATTCCAAACAGATCATGGATAGATATTCCTCGACTTGAAAGATATCGTGACGCGTAATATAAGGAGGGATGTGACGCCTTCATGCAGTAATATGAAGTTCCAGAATAGTAATGATATACGGATCTACCTAATAAATATGATATCAATTATAATGTTGAAGATGATATTGGAGATGACATTAAAGATTATATTGAAGATGATGCTTAAGAGGTCGGTGATCTTGAAGGTGCAGAAAATTTTGAAGATATGCATATTTTTGCAGACATAAAGCGAATAATAAAGCTACTAGAAGATAGTGAAAAGAACTTATATGAGGGTTCTGTCGAGTACACCAAATTTTGGAATGCTTCTAGATTTGCTTCAGACGGTAATTGGTGGAGAAGTTAGCATATGCGAAACAACTTATCAAGGAAAGAAGATTGTTTCTACTCTAGTTCTTGATTATTGTTATAATAGAATCGATGCATGTCGATCTAGATGATTATATCCTCTAACACAAAGCTCATAAAGACCTTTAAGAGTATCCGACATTTGAAGTTTCTCGATGAAAACAATGCACAAACTCTTCAACATGAAGGATAATGAAGATAGAGGGGATGTAGAAGAAGATTCTAGCAAAATTGCTTCATCATTTCCCTTTAGTCAATAGGTTACGAAGGCTGTATATGAACAAAGTCACTGCTAATAATATGAGGTGGTACAAGAAAGATTGTGTGACGCCCCTGGGTTAGCACAAGGCTACTGTCCAAGATGAATCCAAGGATGTCAAACATGCCATGCACCCATACTGTGCGACAATATGTTTTACCATCACAGAAATATCTCTCTAGTGGAATCAAATAAAACAGTACAGGTACAAGAAGATATAAAAGAGATGAACATAGGAAATCAGACATGGAAGTAAATGATAAGTCTCATAAATAATCAAGTCTCAACTGTATAAAGTTGTTCAACAATCTGATACAAAAAGATAAACGTCTCAATACACTTAGTCAAATAAAAATGCATAGGCTCTCAACTCAAAAAATGAAATGCAAATCTAATTATTCACTAAATACAAGACTAAACATCGGTGGAGCAAAAGTAACTAATAAATGAAATGACAATGACTACACTGAAAGTCCGTCAACCCGCGGCTCTCCAAAACTCTTCTCCGCTGTCTGAAAAGAAGTTTAAAACAAAAAGAACAATAACAAGAGCGTCAAAGCGCTATGGAAAGATCATCTCCAACCGTCCCTAGGGGAAGGGCTGCTAAGTATGATAGATGCTCTACCTATAAATACATAGTATACCTAGATCATTTTCCCTGTATCTAATGGAATCAATATTTAGACACCTACAAAATGAGACGTAGTACGTCGAGTAAAATAATCCAAACAAGAAAACTCTCATGTATATACCATATGTCATAAATTGTAGATACCTAAACATTAACACCGAACTAGAGATAAACAATCTAAAGGAAATCAATAATTAGAAACCCACAACACGAGACTAGTACGTCAAGAGAAATAATCTAAATAAGGAAACTATCATATATATACCATATGTCTCAAATTCTGAATCGCTAAATATTAAATCCAAAACTAAGAATAAATGAATACAAGAAAGATAATATAGGAAATACCACATCATACATCTCCAAAAATGTCATTTCAACTCCTCATACTATCCTTAGTAGGTAAAACAAATATCAACATACTCGTGTATCTAAGTTGTGAAATACTTTCACAATGGATCATATTGATGATGTCAATATTCACCTACACTTAGGTTATTTATTTAATCGTCCTTCTCTGGAATACTCATCGCACCCCAGTGCGGACCAGTATATAGATATGTCGGTTCATTGCACTCCCGTGCGGACCAATAACTATGTATGTCAATTTATCACACTCCCGTTCGGACCGGTAACTAAGTATAATAACTCATCGCATAACCATGCAGACCGATGGTTAGGTATATCAACCTCTGTGCATTTTTGTGTGGACCGAAAGATAGGTATATTAACCTCTGCACATCTCCATGTGGACCTATAGATAGGTATATCAACCTCTGTGCATCTCCATTCGGACCGATAAAGAAGTGTCGTCCATCTGCAGTCTTATTGTAGGACCCGACTAACCCCACCCAATCGATCATAATTATAATATATTTATATATATATATAATATATATATATATAATAATAGTCGTTACTCTTAACGATTATAACCTATTTGGATACCCCAAATAATGTAATCATGCGTACTCAATCCTCGAACTATGCGTGAATATTAGCTCACGTCTTACACAAAAATGCTTATCAAACGAACACACAAGCAAAAGGTTCTATCTCACAAAAACCGACCTGATCAGTCAACTGACAACCTCATCGGTTGACTGATAAGGTCATTCACAAAATCAACAAGGAAAACAAGAGCCCGTTAGTCGACTGATGCTTGTCATCGGTCGACTGATGACCTACCGTCAGTCGACTGATGACAACTTCAGTCGACTGAACTGGCCAAAAATGCATAGTTTGTTCTCCTCTCATGTTTTCTTCAAAAACTCTGGTTTTTATCAGATTATATGAACAAAACTTGATTCCATTGTCATGTATACTTAACCAGGAGTTTGTTTAAACAAGATGAATCACATGAACACATAGATCTAGGGTTTAACATGCAAATAAACCTAATTCTTGTTTATTTCGACAATCTAAAGCATATAAATCATATTAAACTATAATTAACTCATTAAAATAAATCCTAATGATCATGATGATGTTAATATTCAAGTTTTAGATTCGTTCTACTATTCTTGATATGAGTTTAGGGCATGAATATTATAAATTAAGTTCTAACACGTTAGATCTTACCCTAAACATGAAATTAGACACATATATTACATAAAAACTTAAGTTCTAACACGTTAGATCTTACCCTAAACATGAAATTAGACACATATATTACATAAAAACATGATTTTTAATCTAGGGATAGGTATTAGACACATATATTACATAAAAACATGATTTTTAATCTAGGGATAGGTTTGGACAGAGGTGATCTTGCTTTAATCTCGTGTGCAACCCTCTAAAACTAACAGAAAGTGATCCAAAGGTGCAAACAAACCGTTCTTGCTTGCCACATGTCGATGATCTCACCCTCGTGTCGGTATTTTTGGTTCACAATGCTCACAAACTCACAAGAAATTGATCTAGGGTTTTTGAGGGGATAGGGTGGCTGCTAGGGTTCGAAGATATCATCAAAGAGAAGAAGTTTTGTGAAAAATATAAGTATTTATATAGGTAAACCTGAAACAAAACCCGTTTGACCTGAACAAGGAAACCTAGTTTGACTAGGAAAAACACCTTTGGTATTTTGTTTGTAACTTTCTCATCCAACTTTGAAATGAGGTGATTTAAGATTTGCTGGAAAGATGTTGAAGATACCTACAATATTAGTCTTTTAATTTTTCCATATTCAAAATGCATTAGTGTATAAACACGTATTCTCTGGTCATTTTTCTAGGTTTCAGGCTCGTCTATATAGTGCATGATTTCACTCCTATATTCACACACACACACACACACACTATATATATATATATATTAAATTGATCTCAAATCAATTTCTAACATACTCAAATATCAGTAAATGTTATTTATT